AATACAGAATGCACCTTTTTTATTTATAGTCCTCTGATTACTGGAGAAGGAGAACATTGTATCCTACCACAAATGCCGTTTGGTTTCCTGTCTAGTGCCCATTTTTCTTGTGGTCTGATAGTTTTTTCTTGTTGATTTACATGCACTTGAAAGCATTTGTATAATGAACATAGTAACTCATCGCCTTCACATAGATTGTGAACATTCCCCGACTCAGACCAATTTTCTCCCAGCTTTCTTAGTTGGTCTAGTCTTTGATATATATATATATATCTAAATATATATATATATATATATTTAGATCTCAAACAATAATATTAGGAATATTGGGAGGCTGAGTCAGCACCTAGCCACTGCAGTCCCCTCAGGAAAGACAATCATCATTAAAGACTGTCAGAATTGGTAGGAGGCCCAGGTCCTCATCGCACTGGTGAGCTCTGAGCGCTCCCGGGGGTGTGCGTGGGTGAGGATGTGGTCTGAACTCTATCATCCTCAAGCCCCGCTGGAGTGGCAGGGAGCCTGCGCCGGGGATTGGCCTGTGTGGGCTTGGGCTGCTTTCTGCCCAGGCATCAGATGACTGCAGAGGAGTTCAAGGACCTCACACACTATGGATCTGCAAGCAGTAGTCATGGCTGCACAATTAAGAGCCTCCCATCTTGTCCCCTTTCTCCTGGCTGGCTTAGTGCTGACAGATTCCAAGCCAGAGAAGATGAAGGTGAGTGAGCCAGCCTCAGAGAGGGTGCAGCTGCTTCTGTACTGCATCTAGGCCTTTCCCTCCAGTCCTTGCAAAAAATCCAACCTTTGTTTTCTTCTTTGTGGGGTCCCAGGGACTTTTCTTCCCTTCTCCTTGAATCTTCTTGCTCTTGTAAATGGGCGTTCTTTGAGCTGAATATGTGTAAGGAGAAAAGGGTCTCCTTACTGTGGTCCTTTCTCCCCTCGTTCTCCAAGTGTCAGGGCAGTCACATCCGTGTCTGCATCAGAGCTGGGTCTGAGCTATGCACCAGTCAAGGTCAGTGTAGGTAGGGATCCCGGTGTGAAGAGAGACTGAGCTAAGTCATTTCAGTTACCACTCAGCAAAAAACCCAGGGGGAGGAGGGGAAAAAAAAAAAGCCAATGTGGAAGTTTTAGGGATAGAGAAAGTTGGAGACGTATCAGAGAAACAACAGACTCATGGAAAACATAGTTCGAGGCCTACAGCAACTGGATTTGAAGTCCGGTGTCTTGGATTCTGGCCTTAGTTCTAGCCCCAATTCATGATTCAGCTGTTTATTGAAGAAACGTATAGGTATGGCAGTGCACAGGGAAATTCAGGGAGGAGAGTGATGAATGACACCTTTTGAATTATAAAGTTAGGGGCAACCAAACTTTCGTGCACATAGCAGGTTGCCACCATTTGGCCTTGGAGTCACTTCACCTTGGTTAGTCTCTGGCTTCTTATTGTAATTTTGTGGGCAACAGATTCTACCTTATGAGTGGGTGAGCACACAATTCCGATGCCTATAGTGTGTTCTAAAAAAGGGAGCTCAGGTGAGTCCCTTCCCCCCAGTCCCTGGCTCTAAAATAAATTAGTCCATTTCCTAGAAGACTTTTCAGAAATGATTTGATTTTTGTGTTGCCTAGTGCTGCCTGAATGTGTGTGGAGACTCCAGCTGTAGAATTTGCTTAATAGAAGCTGGATCTAGAGTGTTGGAGACATTTCACACAGATCTAATAATTTTGCAATAGCAATCAATGTTAGAAATAAGCTCCTATATACTCTACCCAACATAATTTTCATTGCAGTTACAAAAAAACCAAATTCTTAAAAATATTTATTTTTGAACCAGTTTTCATAGGGATAGGAATGGATGCTTTCATTTAATGTTCTCTTTGTATGTGTCAGTTTTGTTGGTGAGTGCATGAGTATAAAATTTTAGGAAAAGTTACAAAATAAGTAGCCAGCCGTTAACTGCTATAATCAAATATGAGTGAGGCTACATGTGAGAAAAAAGGTTTTGGAGGCTAAAATGACAAAGAGCATAACACAAAATGGTGGGAGCACTTGTGGGAGGAAGAAATCACATTTTGATACAGAAGCCAGAGAGCAACTCCAGAGGGAAGCGCTGGCTTTTATACCAATCTTCTCATGAGAATGACCCAGGGTTCCTTGAGAAATACCTTAAACTCTAGAAGGCACCTGCACAATTTAATGAAGAACCTCCCACTAAGCCCCCAAAGTAACATCCAAACCACAGAGAACCTCCATAAAGAGACTTTCTTCCTTCCCAAGATTCCAGACTGAGTAGCTACAATCTGGGTGCTGCTGACAGAATTAGTGGACTTACGGGGTTGGAAAAGTTGGATTTGGTTTGGTTTTGTGTTCCTTCTTCTCTAGGCAGGGGCAGATGGTGTTTGACCAAAATCCTTTCCATTCCACCACTTTTCCTGGAAGTCTAATTTAATCTTAGTTTCAGTCTGGACCTTCCTTATCAGAAAATGGCTTTCTTTCTCTAGCCAGTTCCCCCTTGCTTTGTCTAACTGGATGGTTTGGACATATAGCTTCTTTTTCATACTTCCTGTTTGATACGCCCTGTAGCTGCATGGGAAGTGGAGCAGCCGGGTCTCAAACCAGCGCCCACATGGGATGCCACTACGCCACAGCGTCGGCCCTGGATTTTCACAATATTGATTTGCAAGAGTATCATCCGAGTGAGAGGCAAGGGAGAGAAAACTATGCAAGGCAGAGATGATACTGGATTTTAGAATGTTAAACTTGAAAAGTCCCTTGAGGGTCTAATAGGAATCTAGATGAATACATTCGTTTCACTCATGGGGAAACTAAGGGCCATTGATGAGAACTGCTCAGGTTCACAAAGAAATTTAACAATAGAGCTGGTTTCTGATTCACAGGCCGGAGTTCCTTCCACTCTAGCATGCTGATAAGTGGGTTAAAAAATCAGGTAATGGCTGGCGCCATGGCGTGGTGGATAAAGCTGCCACCTGCAGTGCCGGCATCCCATATGGGCACCAGTTCGAGACCTGGCTGCTCTACTTCCCATCAGCTCTCTGCTGTGGACTGGGAAAGCAGTAGAAGATGGCCCAAGTCTTTGGGCCCCTGCACCTGTGTGGGAGACCTGGAAGTAGCTTCTGGCTCCTGGCTTCTGAGCCTGGCTTCAGATCAGCTCAGCTCTAGCCATTGCGGTCATTTGGGGAGTGAACCAGTGGTTGGGAGATCTCTCTCTCTCTCTCTCTCTCTCTCTCTCTGCCTCTGCCTTTCAAATAAAAAAATAAATATTTTAAAAAAGAAAGTAAGTTAAAAAACCTATGGAAAGAGAAGTAACTAGGCCTTCCCGAAATATATCCGCTATATCAGCAATTTAAAACCTGTCTTTGTCTAAGACAGGTAGAATGCCTTCAATCCAAAGCCACAGTGTAGCCTCATTTTCACAGAACGTGTGGATAGAAGACCTCTCTCTCTCTCTCTCTCTCTCTCTCTCCCTTTCCTCTTTCTCTGTGTAACTATGACTTTCAGATAAATAAATAAATCTTTAAAAAGAGAAAAGAAAAACAATGTGTGGCCCTTACTCCTGAAAGGAGCGGCCGAGAGCCGCCATAAAATGGCCTTAATAAAACAGTCCTGGGAAATGGGGAGTAAACTAAGTTCACAGAGAAAGCAGATAGCTACTAGCCAGAGATAAGGGCTACTACCCAGAGATAAGGGCTACTACCCAGAGATAAGGGCGACAGAACATCCTGGTATGCACATAAGCCCCCTCCCCTGTGCTTGTTCAAGCTTAACAAAGAAACCGCGAGACACGTAGGGCACGTAGCCACCCCTTTCTGCTCTTCAAGGACCCCCTCCCCTTGTCCAAGCTTAGACACGTAGGGCACGTAGCCCCCGTTTCTGTTCTCTCCTCCTCCTCGACGACCTCCTCCCCTTGTAGTTACCCAATAAACTTACGCCACCCTATGGTATGTTAATTTTGTGGTTTTGCCCCTTAAAAGCTGTGTGAGATAGCTGCTCGGGGCTCCTCTCGCTTGCTCGCTGCTTGCAGCAGTAGAGGGCCCATTTGCGCAAATGAAATAAATAAAATTACCTCGTGCTCTATTGCATCGTCTGGTCTGGAGTCTGTGTTTCTGGGGTCGTCACAAGAGGACACCGCTTCTGGGGTCCTACACTCCCAGGTCATGGCATTCCACTCTTTTCCACATAGCCTTGCTTTTCTCGGTATCCTTGCCAGTGTAATAGGAACAGGCTTGACTACTTGTTGCTCAAAAAGCAAAACAAAACAAAACAAAAAAACACCACATTAGATTTTTAACAGTTTTGTCATTGATACCTTATACAGTTCTTGCTTGTTTTGTCAGTCTCATTTAATACAGGAATACTTCAAAAAATTCATGGAAATGGAATTCAAAGATGCTTGTTTTGGTACAAAAACTTTTGAAATCCATGCATATGAGAGGTCTTCAAAAAGTATATGAAAAGTGCTTGCTAGGAAAAAACTGTGTATGAATTTGTATCAAAATGATCTTGGGACCTGCATTGTGGGTGCAGTGGGCTAAGTTGCTGCCTGTAATGGCAGCATCCCACATTGCAAAGCTAGTTCTGGGTTGCTCCTTTTCCAAATCAGCTGCCTACTAATGTGCCTGGGAAAGCAAGAGAGGATGGCCCAAGGACTTGCACTTCTGATACTCAGGTGGGAGACCCGGCTGGAGCTTCAGGCGTCTGGCTTTGGCCTGGACCAGCCCTAGCTGGTGCCAGCAGAGAAAAGACTTCTATTTCTCTCTCTCTCTCTCTTCCTCTCCCTTTCTGTCCCCCTTTCTCCCCCTCTCTTTCTTCTTCTCTCTGTCACTCTTCTTTTCAAATAAATAAATAAATCTTAAAAAAATTATTTAATTCCATTTCTATGAGCTTTTTGAAGTCATTTCACATATCTATTATTCTCCAAGTGCTTTGAAAGATTACCAAGATGTGAGGAATAGTTGTTACTAATATTACCATTATAAAAATCTTCCAGATGAATTGTTACAAAGATGTGAAAGGCACCATCTACAATTATGAGGCATTCACTCTTAATGGAAAGCAACGCATCCAGTTCAAGCAGTATGCGGGAAAATACGTCCTCTTTGTCAACGTGGCCACCTACTGTGCACTGACCTCTCAATATCCTGGTAAGAATTTAAAGCCGTATGAGTAGTGGTAACATATGGGCCGCAAAGCCTGAGATACTTTTTATCTGGCCACTTAATGGGGGAAAAATTTGCTGACCTCTTCCTTGAGCCTTGCAATTGCTTTGCCTGAGATTCTGCTCCCCGAACCAAAATTCTCTCAGAAGATTACAGAAGTTTCCTTGGCAACGACAAAAGAGAGGATCCATGTTTTCGAGACTTTTCTAGGAGGAATTAGAGTAACAAGCAAAGGGGAAAAGGAACTTCAGACCTGGGGTGACATTTGTCTGGGTTAAGGCAGGTGATGCAGGCTGTACTAGAGGTAATACTCCTTCTCAACTCCCTGTTCAGGCTCGCTCAACTCTTCCCAGGGATGTAATTCTCCCTGTTTATTATTCAAGGAGGAAGTTTTCTCTCCACAATTTAGACCATTGGTTTAAAAGCCTATGAATAATGAACAGGATGGGTTATATCAGAGACAGATATATTTCATATATTTGATCTAATTAAGCATGCCATCTTTTGTTTTTAAATATATTTTGAAGAAGCTATACATTCTCAAGGCTCAAAACTCAAAATAAATAAATATGTTTAAAGGAAGATTTCTTTTCACCTCTTTCCCCTTCCTTCAGATGACCAATAGTATCATGTTTTTAAAACTTATGGGTAGATTCTTTTTTCTGCTTCTCCCCTTTTCCTCCAGTTAATTATGTTGTAAAACCATGTGCTGCTTTTTTTTTTAATTGAATAGAACTCTTTCAAGTTCAGCCTGTTCTCTCATTTTTTTCTTATTATTTATTTTTTAAAGATTTATTTATTTATTTGAAAGTCACAGTTATATAGAGAGAAGGAGAGGCAGAAAGAGAGAGAGAGAGCTTCCATCCACTGGTTCACTCCTCAATTGGCAGCAACAGCCGAAGCTGTGCCAATCTGAAGCCAGGAGCCAGGAGCTTCTTCCAGGTCTCCCATGTGGGTGCAGGGGTCCAAGGACTTGGGCCATCTTCTACTGCTTTCCCAGGCCATAGCAGAGAGAGGGATTGGGAGCCGAGCATCTGGGGACTCAAACGGGCGCCCATAAGGGATGGTGGCACTGCAGATGGGGGGCCTTACCCATGCCATAGTGCTGGGCCCCCTCATTCTTTTTAATATTTATTGAGCCATAATGCATTTATCAATTAATAGGGATTTTTAAAATAGATTTATTCCGTTTCTATTCAGTACATGACAGATGAGAAAACTGAGGCATAATTGCCCAAAGACTCCAAGACAGGCTTCCTCAGCTCTTGTGTTTTTCCTGGAGGAAATGTTTGCCTGCAAGATGAGAACAAGAGGGAAGAATATGGAAAGAGGTTCTGAAGAAACTGTGGAAACAGCAAAGCAATTTCTTTTTTTTTTTTTTTTTTTAATTAAAAGGCTAAGAGGAGACAGCAAGTGGCCAAGCTGAATCTGAGACTGACTGGTATCTGTTAGGGCATTCTCACAGAAAGGATGAACAGAAATGACTGTCAAAGTCTGAGCAGACAAATTAGTCCACTTCCTGGCCAATGGAGGATGATAGTTGAAGCACATGTTTCTGCAGATCATATAGAATGCTTAGGTAGATTGCACCTGTAACATCCCAAGGACTGTTGAAAGACACCGGGCAGCTCGACTTGGAATTTCTTGGGTTCCTTTTGCCTCTGTCAGGTTCACCTCCATTCCACTCAGAGCGAACCAGCCTGTGCACAGAAGAGCAGCTCAGTTCTCATGGTCCCTGTCCTTTCCTTTGGAAAAGAAAGATTTAATCTCTCTGTTAACATACCAAGGCAAACTAATGGGCAGCATTGTTCCAACCAGGCTTTGTTTAAAGATCACCTGAACTTGGAATAAGAAACATGACTGGACCCCATCAAAAACTTCTCTGAGATGGGACTGATTTTTAAGGAAGGGTCTCTAATCGATTCTGATGTGGTGCAGGTTTGGGAGTACTGCCCTGTAATTACAGGATCTTGAGTGTGTATTTGAAGATCTGGTGTCTAACTTCCCTATGTCACTAACAATCCCTTGAGTCAAGAGACACTCCCCTGCCTGGGCCGTGGCTTCCTTTTCTGCAACATAGGTAACCCGGGATCTCTCTCTCTACAAGGCAGGGTCTCTAGGCAGGCCACCATGTTGTCCCTTCTCTTCCTGCAGAATTGAATGCACTCCAGGAAGAGCTGAAGCCTTTTGGCCTAGTCGTGTTGGGTTTTCCATGCAACCAGTTTGGAAAGCAAGAACCAGGACAGAACTCAGAGATTCTTCCTGCGCTCAAGTAAGTGCCTGCATAGACCCAGCAGGAGACCCCCGGTTACCTTTGCTCCTTCTCCAGGGGTCCTTCTATGTCAGGAACTTTCTGGGTAGATGACAGATTCGTAGATTTAGGGCATCTGCAAGGTTATTTTAACTTTGGCTTGCCCTTTTGGAGTCTGACAATGTCCAGAAGTTCTTTCTCCACCTCTGGTTATGACCTAGGCAGATGGTGGGGAGCAGAGGTACAGAAAGGCTGGAGGAATGGAGACAGGTTGAAGAACAGGGAAAAATAAAGACAATCAGGAGCCCAAAGTAAAAAAAAAAAAAAAAAAGAAAAGAAAAAAAAAAAAAGACACAACTTGTTTCTCTTTCTACCCTTATATGCTTGAGCTTCCTGGGAACATTTGATTCATTGCAGGTATGTCCGTCCAGGCAAAGGGTTTGTGCCTAATTTCCAGCTTTTTGAGAAAGGGGATGTGAATGGTGGAAAAGAACAGAATATCTTCACCTTCTTGAAGGTAAATGAAGTACTGCGGTAAGGCTCTTCCTCTTGCCTAATATTCCCAGTCCAGAGTTAGTGTGGTGGAAAAGGACACCGTGGCTCTTGCCTGGAAGTGAACTTGATCTTTTTGGAGGAATTCCCTAGATTAGCATAGGAATGTAGGCTTAACCTCTTAGTACCTATGGAGCTTGGGTTATGGGTAATGAAGACAGTTCTGTGGAGTGGCGGCTTTACTAGGACTACCCTGTTTTGGTCATTGGCATCCATTCATTCAAAGTACTTTTATGAACTACCTGTTATCTTTAAGGTAGGTTAAATAAGGGTATTAAATGAATATGGTACTGTTCCTACCCTTAATGAATTCATATTGAAAATGGAGACATAGAAATAATGTAGAAAGTTATCATTTATTAAACACTAATTTTTATGCTAGAACTAAAAGGATCCTGAAGATCACTAATTGTTCTTTTTAAAAATATTTATTTATTTATTTGAAAGGCAGAATTGCAGAGAGACAGAGGCAGAGAGAGGTCTTCCATCTACTGACTCACTCCTCAAATGGCCCCAACAGCTGGAGCTGGGCCAATCTGAAGCCAGGAGTCAGGAACTTCCTTGGGCTATCTTCTACTGCTTTCCCAGGCCAGAGTAAAGAGCTGGATCAGAAGTGGAACAACCAAGTCTCAAACCGATGCCCATATGAGATGGCACTATATGAGATGGCAGCACTGCAGGCAGCAGCTTTATGTGCTACTCCAGTGCCAGCCCTGGGTGAATTGTTCCTAAATGCTGGACTTTGTACTGGAATTACCCTAGGTTAAAATTTTTATATATCCCCAGTAAATTGAAGAACATAGGTCGGTATCAGGAAGGTTTTATAAATACAACTTGTCTGAATTATTCTACTACCCTTTATTCTAAGATGACCCACATGTAGTTTATTCTTACAAGGCTACTTAAAAAAAAATAATTGATGGGGCCGACGCCGCGGCTCACTAGGCTAATCCTCCGCCTAGCGGCGCCGGCACACCGGGTTCTAGTCCCGGTCGGGGCGCCGGATTCTGTCCCGGTTGCCCCTCTTCCAGGCCAGCCCTCTGCTGTGGCCAGGGAGTGCAGTGGAGGATGGCCCAGGTGCTTGGGCCCTGCACCCCATGGGAGACCAGGAAAAGCACCTGGCTCCTGGCTCCTGCCATCGGATCAGCGCGGTGCGCCGGCCGCAGCGCGCCGGCTGCGGCGGCCATTGGAGGGTGAACCAACGGCAAAGGAAGACCTTTCTCTCTGTCTCTCTCTCTCACTGTCCACTCTGCCTGTCAAAAAAAAAAAAAAAAAAAAAAAAAAATTGATGAAATGATGGTGTTTCAGTTTTCTTCTTACTTGGTAAAATTTGTATTAGTAACTCTATCTTGGTTTCAAATGATATTTAATGAAATGTAACTGGTCCATGGACCCCCAAGACCTGGGAAAACACATTCTAATCTCTGTCATTCACCTTGCAGGAAAGAATGTAGAAGATTGAGAGGTGACATATCTTAGTCATGCCAACATGATTTTGTGATGAGGTCATGGGAAGAAGGAAAAAGAGGGAGCAGACTTTTGCTGTAAAATCTGTGACACTCTTGGTAGTTGGCACGATGGTGATTCAGAGAATGCACGGGGTTCTTAGGAATGACAGGAAATTAAAGTATCTACGTAGGGAGGGAGGGAGTAGGTTATTGGTGAATGAAAATAGCCTGGATCATCCAAGAGCAGCCATGATGCTCTCGTTTGTCTTTTCCATCTCTCTGTTTCAGCACTCCTGTCCTCACCCTTCTGGGATTTTGGGCTCATTAAGACATATCTCCTGGGAACCCATAGAAGTCCATGACATCCGTTGGAACTTTGAAAAGTTCCTGGTGGGGCCTGACGGAGTCCCTGTCATGCGTTGGTTCCACCTGGCTGAAGTCAGCACGGTCAAGTCAGACATCCTGGCCTACCTGAAGCAATCCAAACCCAAAAAGGAAAGTGGAGTTGGAGGTAACGAAGCACCTGAAGACCTGTTCCAAGGAGAACTACAACAAAATCCAGCTTCTCGCCACATTTTTTCCCCTACTTGGCATCCACTTGACTAAATGACCTCCATTCTGCCAAAGTTTCTGCTCTCCAGCAAGTGTTTATGTTAAGAAGGTTGCTACTGTTCCTCCTAGGTAAAGAATAAAAGAATGGAAACCCTAAATTCTTAGACCTCCATTACAGATTGAGTCATTCATACTCATCATCTTTCCACAGGAATGGTTCATTCTGCTGTCATAACCAGAAAAAATGTCCTCCTTGGCTTTCCACCCCAGAAGTACAGGAATAGTGATGGGGTTATAGTCACATGTTTTACTTTCTAACATGTTTTGTCCCCTTGGACAAATACGGACTGTCAGTTTCCTGCTCTTTTTGAATGTCTTCATCACCCACCAACTTGTCATTTGCCCATGGGAACCCTAAGGTAGAGTGGGACCAAGAACATCACCTCCCATGAACGGTGGGTATTTCCAGGCTGGTGGGACCCAGAGCCTCTCTGTATTGCTCCACATCAACCATCTTATTGTCTAATCTTTACTACAGTAAGGTTAGGGGACCTGGGTAGGAATGCCCTTTATCTTTTAAAGGGTAGGATTTGCCCCTCCCAACCCTAGATCCCTCAACTTTAGAACCAGCCCTGTCACTGTCACCAATAAAATGTGTTGTGCAGCATCTAAGAGCTCCGTGATAGTCTTTAAATCCTGTCTGGTACTTGCACACTCTCTATTTCTCCCCTCCTGCTCCCTCTCCCACAGCTGGTATATTGCCCACCTGACTCCTTTTACATGCCCAGATGTTTGAAAGGTTGTCACCGCGGGGCTCCTAAGCTGTCATTCCTCTTCAGATGTTAGCTCAGGCCAAGAGTGTCCCCCGTCTGGGGAAGCCTACATCAAATGACCAGTCCCTGAGGAGTGTAAGGGTCAAGTCCAGAGCTTCCCAGACGCCCGCAGAGACCCCTCCCAAAGGGTAGGCTGCCCCTTTTGGGGGCTGGCACTGCAGCTTGCTTTGTCCCTCTGACAAATCTTGCATCTCTTCTTTGTCCCTTCCGCCCAGGTGTGGATTCTCAGGTAATATTCTAGAAAGCTTTCTGAACACCAATCTCCGTCTTAGAGTCTGCTTTCCAGGGAACTCAACCTGCAATTGTTGGTGCCAAAAATGACCTGAAAAAGAAGATGCTAAGATGACATTTTGGAAACTCACTAACAACCCGATGGTGGGGGTTGGGGCACACACAGCCACTGGAGCAAAGTAGCAGAATGATTATAGAACTGTCATCAAACCTGAACTAGCATGGTAAACAGATGGAAGGATACCCACTAGCAAAAGGGACACAATATATGCCTGAGAAACATGGGAACAGGTGAAAATCATAATGTAATAGAATTGGATGCTCCCTGTTAGAGGGAGCTGATACTTTGGAGAGTAGCTCCGGCCATTGCGGCCAATTGAGGAGTGAATCAGCAGATGGAAGACCTCTCTCTCTCTCTCGCTGTATAACTCTTTCAAATAAGTAAATCTTTGAAAGAAAGAAAGAAAGAAAGAAAGAAAGAAAGAAAGAAAGAAAGAAAGAAAGAAAGAAAGAAAGAAAGAAAGAAAGAGAAAGAAAGAAAGAAAGAGCTCCAAAGAAAGTTAAATTCCCAACATAGAATTCTGTGTCAGGTTCATGGCTTGATTGCTAAATAGAACCTTGAGACATTGGATGAAGACTTCTGATGCATTAGAATAGCCAAATCCCCCAGGTCTCTTAAAGCTTTTAAAAATGGCCCCTCCCTCCTTGTTAAGGGGTAGCATATCCTTCTTGGTTGATGACAACAACTCTGCCCTAACAAATATTGTGTCCTGTCACCACTCAGCATCTGAGGGTGAGATTCTAAGGGTTCTTGAACAAGGGGAGTGAAGCAGAGTTAGATAAGGAGAGTCATTGATTTGGGAGCATTTTCCTTAAATATAAAATTCTTACTGTCAACACAATATACTGAGGCTGCTTCCTGCTTCAAAAAAGGAAAAAAAAAAAACTCTTGCTAATGTAGCAGAAATTCCTGGCATATTATAGATTATGGAAATAAGGTATCAATGGCTCGCCATTTTATTCGTATTATTTAATACTTTTAACACAATGCTTTACAATACCTAATCTTTACCTGCAAACTTTCATAGAGGGAAAAAAAAAAACTCTAAAATGAATTATAAAAAAGTGAACAAAGGATTTCTCAAGATGACACTTTAGAAAATGTTCAAATAATTGTCTAATTGTATTACTTCTTTTACTTAGCTTGTGTTCCAGCTACACGTGTAAAACACCTGTTGTTCTGAAGAAAATACAATCTCTTCGGATATTTCAAGGTAGCAAAGTATTTTGAAAAAACAAAGCAGGGAGTGACTGGCTTGGAGCCAGAGGGAGCATTTGAAGAAGGGAGGTCCGCGGAGCTCCGAGCGGGGGCGCTCCGGTGAATTCGGAGCGTCGGAAGACAGGCTCCTGAGAGGAGCGGCAGCCCTGTTGGACACGCAGCCTTTTCAGCTTAATCCGGATGTGCAATCAACACGCCTCCTTTTCATTCAGACGCTTTCAAATAATCTGAACTGAGGAGAAAAGTCTGAGGAAAATCAAAATCCCCTTGATTGCAACCTTCAATCCCTGGAGCACTTGGGTGTTGTGAGCGGGAAGGCTGGGGTCGGCTGATTCGGGGTTCTGTTAATTGCTGCTTTTAATCGCGCCCAGGCAAGCCTTGTATCAGAGGGTGTGTTTTTGTTCGTAATATGTAATAACTTAAACAGGATTTTTTACAAAACTATGTACTGGTTATCTGTAAAATCTTTACATACATGTCCCCAAGTCCCCTAAACGCTGTGGCTCCAGTGGCGCAATCGGTTAGCGCGCGGTACTTATAAGACAGTACGCTTGTGAGCGATGCCGAGGTTGTGAGTTCGATCCTCACCTGGAGCAGTTTTACTGCTCCCGCTCACGTGAGCTTAGAGAGCGAGCCTAAGTTTCTACACCTGCATAGGAAGATGCCCTGTGGTAACACCACGGTGCCCGAAACCCGTTTTCCATTTGTGTTAAAATTCCTTACTGAAAGTCACGGGTAGCAGGTTCCCTACTGTTCTTTTTCGCTGCCTGCCTTCTTCCAATACCTCACAAGTGTTTGGCAGTTGCTGAAACAGACGTTCGTAGTATTCAATTCAGTAAGGAGCTGACCGTCTCAGTCGCAGGCCCAGTATTCAGGACTTTTAAAAATTAGTGAAAAAATAATCCTGGCTGCTTTGTTGCTCCTGTGAAATGTGGGGATCTTGGTTTTTGTAAGTGTTTCTGTGCTTCAATCTGCTTTTCTTACCTCAATTTCTTTGCTTCTCTGGACTTCTGGGATCCTTTTGGCTCTGTGGATGTGACAGACACTTGAGTATTGCGTCTCAGAAAACAAACTGAACGTTCCAGCTGTGGAGTTGATTGGGAAGCCTTGGTGTGAGCGATCCCCTCGGGATCTTAAATGTGCTCTGAGACATCAGGGAGACACATGGAGGACTTTTCCTCTTTACCAAGGATTCAAGATCCCCAGCTGGACAATTTACTTACCAAGATATACCATAGACATATCAAGATATACCATAGACATATCAAGAGAAGCTATTCACAGTGTTGATTGAAGTAAATCATTGATTGAGTGATGGCCACAAATTCCTGCCCTGCCTGAATGCACCTCATTTGCAATGTGCTTTGGCGAAAGTTTCCATCAAGAGGTGGAGCCCATTTCCCTGCATGTTGTGTGTGGTGACGTCACTTCTTCTTTTGGACTATGGTTTTGTGGAAGTGATGTTGGGGGAGTTCAAAGATGAGATTCCAAGGAGCCTTGTGACCTTCCCTCTTGCCACTTTGTAACCTTGAGACTACCACACAAAGAACCCCCGTGTAACCTGAAAGGGTGGAAGACCACATGGAGAGAGAGGCCCATCCAGCTTTCCCCAGCAGCACAGCCATTCTAGCTCACATGTGAGTAAGACCATCTTGGACCAAGCTGCCAGATGGCTGTAATCACATGAGCGACTCCAGACAACGCTAGGGAAAGAATGTCCTAGATAAACAGAGCTCAAATTGTTAACCTGCAGAATTGTAACCAAAAGATATGGTTGTTTTAAGCCACTGAATTCCAGTGAGGTTTGTGACATAGATATTAATATGGATGTAAGCATTTAGCACAGTTCTAAGCAAAATGAAAAAGCTTGAGCTAACTTAGCAGTTTGTAACTTTTGTAGATTTTCTCATTATCCCAAGTATGAACTCTTCTCTGCCCTTGTCACAGCCTGGAGACTCCAGAATTTGGGGGAATTCTGAGCTATTCAATTTAACCCTGGAGTAAGTTTCTGATTCTTTGAGTCCTTGCACTAGGCTCAAGCACCTGCTCTGAAAGACTCAAAATTTTCTGCTCTCTAGACTGAGTAAACGCATGAATGAGAAGTCATGACCACGTTCCTTGCCTGATTTTGCAAGCAAATTAGACTACAGGTCCCATAGTGCTTTCTGGTTGCATCTTCCCAATGCTAGGTGTCTTTCTGATAAGTAAACTCGTTTCCTCCATGACAGAGAGAGGAGTTGGGTATCTATGCTGAGAAATATTTATGTATATAACTTTGAGTAGTTTATAGATGTCAGGCACCTGGGAGATTGCTGCCAGTTTGCATAATATTTTTCCAAAAAGCTTCCATAACAGAGAATGGTTGTGGGTAGCAGTTGCAGTGTCTAGAAGTTGAATGTGTATAGTTCTTTTCCCCAATGCTCCTGAGCACCATCCTAGTGAGTACCCACTAAGATACCAGGGCTAGGCAATTTGTTTTTGCTTTGGGCTCTAAACTCAGTCTGAACAGAAATCATCATGTTTATTTTATTTTAAAATATTGAGTTTATAGAAGAAGCCATTGAAACTAACAGAATAGTGTCATAAATTATGAGAGAAAAAAAATCTTCTGTCTGGTTTTCTGTGCTTAACCAAACTGTCAATCAAAAGTGAGTGTGTTTTAAAGCCATTTACAGAGAGAAGCAACCTCTCTTAGAAAACCTAAAGATTGTTCTCCACCATAATGGCACAAGACTAAAAAAAGTAAGATAGGGAGATCCAAAAATAGGAAGAAGACAATGTACACCTCCAGGATGCAGAAATAAAAGTCCCAG